AATTTTTATTTGTGAACGAATTCAATGGTAACGCCCTCAAATTCGACATTGGGTGATAATACTTCATATCTAACTGGGAATGTTTATTTTCTCAAAGATTACAGACGAGCACTTCTGATGAATATCAATTATCACGAAATTTAAACCAAGGGTTACTTGTTAGTTATCTCTAAATACCTAACATCTATTGAAATACACCATGAAGTAGAATCACTCAACGTGGAGGTCAAACTGGAACTTGACTGATGGGAGTCAGTCAGGATTATTGTCTGGATAACATGATAATGGTAACTAATATATTTCGTGAAAATTCCCATTTGGACATTTGATAAATACAGAAGGAACGAATTGAGCGAAGAAATTTCTTTTCAATTAGTTTTTCATCATGGCTCTACACTAATATATATATGATTTACAATAATGATATAATACTCATTGAGTGGATAAGTTACGTAATAATTACATAATGACATTTGAATATTAATCATCTGCCTCCCAAAATACTAGATGTTAATTTAAATGTCATTATGTAATTATTACGTAACTTATCCACTCAATGAGTATTATATCATTATTGTAAATCATATATATATTAGTGTAGAGCCATGATGAAAAACTAATTGAAAAGAAATTTCTTCGCTCAATTCGTTCCTTCTGTAATATATTTCGATTTGAATCGGGAGTTTCTTTAAAAATGTCAGTCAAATCGTTGGTTGATTGTTGTATGGAACGATGTAGTGATGTAGCAAAACACTTTAGTTTTATGAATAGATTACTTGAGTTAAGATCGACTTTTTTGTTTATTATTTACACAGGAAACACACTTTCATGAAATGATTCAAACAGCATCTCGTCTCGAAGTAACGCATGGCCATTTATGGGATTTTGTTTTAATTAATGATGATTTACCAGTGGCATTAGAACAATTATCTGAAATGGCTTACCGTATTGAAACAGAAGCATTTTGGATACCGAGAATTTGGCTAAATTCAACAAGCAATGAATTGAATCAAGAGAATAGTCGATCTTATGTAGATGCATCAGTGAGTACAATGACTACAACTGCTGTTCAGTAAAGGATTTTGATAATCTCTTGTCTCTTCCCATTGTTTTTACTAGGAGGCCAGCAGATGATTCTGTCTTTATGTAGGATTGCATTTACATCTGTTCGTAGTTCCAATTTCTAATAATTTAACTGATTGCCAACTTCATCACTACCATTTGTTCAAAGATATTTCAAACTAGACCTTCTTAGCACTTCAAAACAATTATTCTACTTACTACGTGTATTCCTTCACAAAATTTGTTATTTCATGTAATGAATTAACTTCTTCTTGGATATTTTACTATATTCTTTTGCTTATTTTCATCACTAATTTCTGAAATAAAATCAATACTTAATTTGTATTTAGTTTCATTGGAATCATGAATCGATGTAAGTTAAATCACTATTAAAATCTTGAAAGCTCTGGGCGGTCGTTTCGTCCTAGTATGGTATTTTTAGCAGTGTGCATTCATGATCCCTCATCCGGAAATCAAACTCGGGTCCTTTGCTTTCCCACATGAATGCTTAACCTTTGAACTACTGAACCGACATTTAACGGTGTTAATGTCTAACCTCAATCAATCCACAATATTGCGTAGACATTTTCCATTGTCTTCGGTGGATAACTGCTGAACATAGGTCAAATTTGACTAATCAATCATCAAATGATTGTCTAATACTTTAGTTGGTCAAATTTAGACGTGTTACCACCGAAGTAAGTAGCTTGAAAATATATTGAGTTATGTGTAACTGTCAGTAAGTAACAAGTAAGTATAGCTGTCAGTGGTTTAAAGCTTCATCATAGATTTGAACATTTATAACTCTGTACTGTCCTAAAAATCCTTTACACAAAGTTTATGAGATGAGAACCACTTTATGCACCCCTTAACTACTTAACATAAAACGTGTTTTAGTAGAAAGTTATATTGAGGCTGTATCCTATATTTAAATATACCTTTTACTGTATAGCGACATAAATCTACATATAACGTCGACTGATTAGTATTTGAGATTATTGCTCGTAAGTAAGACGAATTTTATGCTTGTTTTTTATTCGGTCCAAACATTCTATACTAGTGTTTGTTGCCTTTGTACTATGGAGGTTGGGATTCAAAACTCGACTCCTAACTGAATATAATTAATGAACCTATTGTATTCTATTACGTAGAAAAACTATTTTAAATAAACAAGTAAAAAGTGTATTAAAACTCTCCTTTATTCTATTTCTACCTTCATGGTATAAGGAATAAACCGTTAGTCACTGTAAAATAAGCGTTATTGTTACAAATAAGATCAATATTGGACGGTAAGTATCACGAACACAATCATTTATGCAGAATGATTTCTTAGTGTAATTAAGAAGATGGGGTTGTATATTTGCAAAACAAAGCAATGGAGTTCAACATCAAAAGGACGATAAATTTTGATGTGTAGCCTCAAGTATTTGTTTTAGTTATGTATTTTAAGCAGTTGTTGTTATTCCAGTATTTTGTTGATTTTCGCAGTAATTCAATTGCTGTCCTTTGTTAACTTCCTAGCTTTTGTTAGTAGAGTGGTTGTTTGTTTGTTGATTATTAGCGTAGCAAAATTCTAAAATTCCTAAATGATTTTGGTCATTTTTTTAGTTACGAATAATGCTATTTTGATTTTTCAGATTTCAGATTATTTTTCGAAATATTTTGACTTAATACACTTGGTTATTAGTGTAATCTACTCGAACATGCTACACAGAATTGACATTAAAATCAACTTCATCTGCTCCCTAAAATCCCGTTAACAGTGTAACGATAAATAAATTGTTCAGACTCTTAATGACTATTATTAGCTTCATTTCAGTTATCTAGTACTACACCTAACTGTCGACACGACAAGAGGTATTGTTAACATTTGATCACATTACACAATTACGGCTTGTATCAATCATATGTAAATGATATGATGAAGGGATTGGCCTGTCACCAAACTATTTACTGTAATCTATGGCGGCAGACTGTTATCCATATAGGGTTGATAATCAGTAATAGCTCAGATGTTAAGGAACTGATCAAGTGATTCACAAGTCAGTCACAAAACTCCAATATGAAGAACAGTTTAGAGAGTGAATCTGTCACAAATAACATAAACATACGTTATCTTATTTTTGTTTTTTTCGATAACATTGACGTTGAATCCACCACATACGTTAGCGTACTTGTTTGACAGGCCACGCCAATTCCCAGTCAAAACATCAGAATATCTGATTAAAAACTTTAATTTATGTGAACGGTAATCACATAGTAACAGTTAACTAATTAAAAGATTGGGACTTTATAAAGATACCATGAAATAATTGTCCAACATAAACACATAAACTCACGAAAGAATAGCTACTCACTTTACATGTTCTTTATCCTAACATTTTTTTGATTATTTACTTCTGCTAAGTGTCGCAACTTGAATATAACTTGACATTTTATTCCCATTAAAATGAAAGTGACCTACTAAGATTTAGTACCCTCATGGTTTTTAACGTAAATTGTCAAACTGCGAGCAATAACTGTCACAATGCAAATAATCTATAAGTGATTTTGATCGTATGTCAGCAAAATTTCGAGTATTTTGTTGATTACTATCTTCAGTATCCGTAATAACTAGGATTGTGTTAGAGATGTTTTCTTCTATGTATTTAGTTCTTCATGAGGGTTGACGTATATGTCCGAGTTATAGCATTTTTGCTACCAGTATCAAATATAATAACAAAGTACTTTGGTTCTCATCAAACCTTATCGATGGGTAATAATGCCACTTCTCTGACACTACATCAGATGATATGATTGAGTACCAAGGGCTTGGGAGTGACTATCAAGCACCTTTTATGCGTCTCTCGGTTTGTATGGGCACACAGAAATAATAATTGACATATCATAAAACCAGGACAATTTATTCACTAGTTTGGTGTATGATAATGGTTCACATTTATCAAATATAATCAATTTATGAAACATCAGTGGTACAAATATATCGCTTGTTTTATGAGGTAGGTAGTCACAAAGGTATTGCAAGGTGCAATTTAAAATTATATATATATATATATATATATATATATATATATATATATATATATATATATATATATATATATATATATATATGACTTCATTTCACAGTTTCATGTAACCTGATTCTACTAATCAACGTTTAAGAACAAATTAAACTAAATGAAAAGCAACCAAATGTCTTGAAAATTAATAATTACTTTAATGTTGAGAAGAAATCACAATTTATTAAGTAAAGAGTACTTTGATATTCATGTTCATTACGTTGCATAAAATGTTGGGACAAAAAGAAAAAGATAACATGAAATCATGCATTAAATACACTTATCCTTCATTACACTAAATATTGTGCACTCATATTCTTTGGTTTTTTCTTATTTTAATGAAAGCGAGAACGACAATAAATGTAGCTACTCTTAGTTTAAGTTTGACTAAGGAACAAGTTCTATGAATTATACATATTAACCAGTAATGTTTATTTTTAATAATCTAGTGATTCGTTCCATGAGGCTAGTCATCATTGCCATCATCATCATAATCAATAATAATGAATAACATTTCGCCACCGCAGAATAAATCCAATGAGTTTGGAGGCTTTTTACAATCGTCCTCCCGAAAAGTAATTGACTCTTCATTATGTTGTCGAAATGACTAAATTACAATTGGTTGGCCTCGTTGGTTATCAGCTCATTGTAATCCTATTGATTGACAAAGGATCAACACTTATGTACTTAGGATTAGTATAGAAATGACTGGTCCTGTAGTTCGTACGGTTTGCATTCATAATCTGTTATTTTTCAGTGTCTTACTGTGGTTCATTATTTGCTCTTAATTACTCAATTGGATAATTGTGTTTGTAACCAAACGGAAATCCGAGTTACAAAAGTAGTTTTTTTCTTTATGTACTGAGTTAGGTTTTTTTATGTAGAATTGTCTTCCTTAATAAACTCAACTGGAGGCTTACCAACATCGATTTTTAAATGCAAAATTGGATAATTTAATTTTGAATTTGATCTGAAAGTGTTGTTTTCATGTGAAAAATGTATTGTTTTAGTTACTTTATGGTTATTTAATAAACTGTGGAATTGATTATATAATTTTATTTGTGATTTAACAAGCGTGTAATTTAAACTATTGATTCCATCAAGACGATATCTGACTTTTGTGAAGGATAATATTTGAGTTCTGAGATGAAATAGAAAGTAAATATTTTGAAGAATTACATGAAAATGCTTTCTAGTAATTTACCGAAATGCAAATAATTTTTGACATATACACGCAATATATTGCAAGGTATACCATTAAAATCTTGAATTTTTTTACTCTAGAATTTAAATTCTCACTCTCATGAGCCAAATTTATGGTGTGTCTAAAATCGGTGACAATATTGCGTAGAGACCAGTTTAAAATGACCGCGACAACTTTACAGATAATTTCCAAACAATCGGAGGGCAGACTTTATAGATGGATAGTTTTTGAGTAAGAAAACAATATTGCAGAATGTAAACGGATAGTGCATAACTATCAAGTCTATTATTATCTTCTACAGGTTATTCTGCTCATAAATTAAAAATAGCGATATCAACTCATCATAATGGATATATCTTGTCCATATCCTCGAACCCTTTCAAAGACTGAAACAAGATTTTACAAGTTTCTATATGGGTTTTAGTTACGGTTGGACACTTTGGGCTAGAATTAAGGATCCAGAGTTTTTTTTTTATCACGAAATGACATCAGCTATAATGTAAAATTTTCTGTCATAGAAATAATAGCGTAAAATTACGGTAGAAGGAAAAATCATTTGATGTGCTAAAAGACCCAAATTCACACTGGTACTATCGAATATCGATATATAAAGTTATTATTGATGAACAATATAGCTTCCTAATAGAATGGTTCTGTTTACGCATTTTAATTGGATTAACCATTCGTTGGAAGTTGGACTTAAGAGTGGATCATGTGGTTGATTCATTGTAGATCGGTAAAGTAATTGAACTTATAAGATGAACACGGTATTAGTTTGTTCATGAATAGAGTGGTTTATGCTTTGCGTTCGTTCATTAACAAAAATACTTAATTTCATGCTAATATTTAAAACATACCTTAAGGCTGAATGAAATGCAAGACTTGGTTTATGTTTGAGCATTGTGAATTGTGCTACATTTGGATCAGGACGTATAACAGGAATTTCATTTATCATAAGCCTGTGAAAAAAATCTTTTAATAAAAGCAGTATACCATGAAAATAAAACAGAAAATTAGAAATTTAAAATTTACCATTAAGTTGTAATCCATTTCTTAAGGAAATGATTGATTCTTCATGAATTTAAGTATAACAGTCGAATTACGATGCATTTGCATATACATTTGTCCGGTTGATGTATTATTTCAAGTAACTCATAACAGTATCAATAAGGTTTTTTCATTTAAAACAATGTTCTTGACAATATATCATTCATCATTATGAATACGTTTCTTTTCTTTTTATCAGTATAAGGTTGTGGATATTGTTGATTTTTTGATTGAGATCATGAATCGATCAATGTTAGACCACTATTGAATCACATGTAGACCTATGAAATTTGGACAATCTCATGTAAGTCTCCAGCTCCTAGTTGATTTTATCATAATTGAATTAAATGTCTTATTGCTGGTACTTCATTAAATCTGATAGCTATCCTTGAATCTATGTTAGCTTGAGTTATATATAAATCGTAACAATAAGATGATCCGCATCATCATTTGTAAAGTTAAGAGGTTTAACTACTTATACAATCAGACTTGTATACATCACTCATCGGTGTTTTTATTAATGTAACCAATCGCAATTGTATTTAATTTGTAAAAAACTCATTCTTACGTACAAACACACACAATGACTAAACATAATTAATTATTGATCTGAATAAAAAACACTCACCTCTCGTACATATCATCGTCTTCTGCACCCCAACCCCAAAATAAATTAGAATACCCATTGACACGAAGAAAGACTTTAAGTGGAATGGATAAAACACCACCAATTAATTCAATGTAAGGGAGCCTTTTTCAAAAAAATATAAAACAAAACAAAATGAGGACTTAGCCGAGAAAATACACATTAATTTTTGAGTTATTTAAAACATTGCAATCATAGATGCAGTATATTAGTTAATTTGTATTACCGAGACATTCGAATTAAGTAATGTCTTCAGTTAAGCTGATTGTACGTGAGTTTTCAACTTAAAAGATAGATTTTATCCTAAATCGTTTTGCTGAAAGACTTTTGAGAACTAGAGATTATTAAACATATATTATGTTCCAGTTTAAAACTTCACAGCAATCTGCATTCATATGTAGTCGTAGGTGTTTGAATATCAGTATATAGTTCTAAATTACTTCAAAATTGAACAAATCTTTATAAATCATATAATTAATTTATAATTGTATATTCACCCATGATAAGCTTCAATAGGACATTCGGTAAATCCTGAAAAGATGGTGTCATTTATAAGATCAACCGATTGTGAGCCAGTTAACCACCAATATTTGTGTAAATCATCAAATTACGCCTGTATATTTCCATGGGATATTTCTAAGCAATGTAAGCTGAGATCTGTTAGTGGGTGAAGACAGGTATAACTATATTCGCCATAAATAATGAACTAATTGAATGTTGTAAAGGTTTTTTCTATTCAATCATTTTTCTTGTTTTATAGTTGATATACAGTACGGAAAGTTGATTGGTATCAACTGACAACTTGAAAAATGTTGAATGAAAAAGCATGTGTAATAATGATTCATTCTGTAGGGTATAAAAGCTCTTTTCTATCTCAACCTGTCTTTGTAGTGAATAATTATCATTGATTCTGACAAAATTTTTATTAAACAATCAATTCACTCAGCCATACGTAAACTAGAACCTGGCATGTGTATATCGGTTCAAGTTGCCACAGCCCGTTCAGTCAGTTAGAGGACAAATCGTGAGGTCGAGTGATATGCATCAACTAATAATAATAATAATAATAGTGGAAATAACAATAACAATAATAGGTACCTGTTTTGAAACTTATCCACGCTTACACTTATATGTTTAGGATAGATTGAGCAGGTATAATCAACTTCATTGTTCATTGGCATGAGATCAACATCATGAAATATTGCACAATGAAACGGCAACCAATTCAATGCTTCCACAAATGCAGTATTCATTACTATTCCCTTATTAAATGGCTGTTGATCAATCTGTGAAGAGGAATAATCATTTTCAGAAGATAGTGGAAACGAATGGTTTGAATAGGTTTAGATACGACAGACAACCAGTGGTAAATGCAAACCTCAAAATTTGTATTAGAGAATACAATGTAGAAATAAACAAGTTAAGAGAATTTTATAATTTAAAATATAATAAAGTGTATGTGGGATAATGTGAATTGGATTCATTCTTAGCTTTGAGATAAACTCTTGATAAAGCAAACTCAAAGGAAAACGAATATTCGACTCCACAAAACTCATTAGAAACTAGGAGTTAATTAACTCTCAGTTCTACATATATCTGAATACTATAAGATTATTAGTATGAATAAAATATTAGGATACTCATTTGATTTTTTTTCTGTCCTGTTCCCTTACACAAAGACAGAGAATCTTGGTTTCAAACACCTGTGTGGTTATTATTGCTCATAACTAGAGTGTTGGTTTCAAACAAGAGAGCTGCCCAGTACTCGTGGTTTCTAGTGGTTATTTAACTTCAAGTAGTTCCTTATAAAAAATAACTTATTACTGATATATCTACATAAATGTTTACTTTAATATTCGAAAACAGTTATCGGCACAATACCGTGAACAAATATGATAACAAAGGTTTGCGTACAATCATCAAGTCTGAATTCAAAAGATAATGTTCTCATAAAGGACAATTTCGATTTTAAAATAAAATTATATGGTACTAAATAACTTTGGTTCGTTTTAACGATACTCTTGTATGAATGTTTATGAAATCCTACGGTTACTGGTTGTTACTGAAACAGGGATATCAAATCATACTGACATGGCTTAATAAGTAATAAGATTATTAGTATTATTTATAGTAATAATGATAATTACTTATCCAGAAACATACCTGTTCAGAAACAATTAACAAATAACATAAATTCTGTTTTGTCAGTAATTCAACCAGACGTGGAATTAATCTCATCAAGTGTTCTGCACGATTTCGATATGGTATAATAATGACATTACGTCGAGTAAATGGTTGATTTGAAATGTGACAACTATTTAGACATCCTTCACTATTGAACAAATGATGAGTACCATTCAAAACTAGTAATCAACAAAAAATCATAAAAAGACTATTTATTAATAAGATTATTAATTAATAAGCTACATTTATTGTGTAATAGTTTGGTTGGTCAATAGCTTGATATACTGAATTAATGGCAAGTTTCCTCTAGTTGGAAACAAAACTGATCGAAAAATATTTAAACGTCCTTTTCACTTTATAATGTGATTTGTTCAAGTTTTACTAGATATAAAGATAGCTTTCATTACAAACTTGATATTGGTTGGGAAACTGGGAAATGAGAGTATAAAATAATGGTTTCCGTCTTGGATTGGAACCCTTCCTGATCCACCTCTAAGATCTCATAAGAACATAAAACATTCAAGCCTCATAAACGCGAACGATATCGTCGAGAGATAGAACAGGGATAAAACTGTTCACATTTTCAATTTTAGTCGATTACAGATATGGTGTGGTTGAAGACTGATATTGATACTGGGTGACTGTTTCATGCCTGACATTGGTAAACTCGATCTGTCACTAAAACTCTTTAGTGATTCAGTAAATTTATCTTGAGGTTATTAACTAGTGAGTATCGGATTATTGTTCGGTGGGGTGACTTATGGATACTAGTTACGTTTGAAGATAAAGCTCTTGAACATTTTCCTACTGTTTTCAGTCCATCACTAATTTCACGTAATCTCTACTAATCACACAACTGAAAGATAATCTTGTGATCAGAGCATTAAATTACTAAAAACAAAACATACCTTTTTGACAAAATTCTTTTTCATGTTTAAACCAAGCTCTCTCTACAGTATCACCGACATCTTCCACTGTTGGAATGTCTGGATTTAATAGTCGAGATAATTCATTTGTAATGAATAATACAAGTTCCGAATCAATTCTAGGGTGGGACATTGGGTTATTGACAACAGAAAATGATAACCATTGGTGAAATATTAAGCGTAGAAACAAGGTAAAACCACAAATAAAACATATCAAGGTGTAAAGTATCCTCTTCATTTCTTTAACGAATAATCAGTAAGAATTGTCTATTTTTGGCTGTGACTAAAATTTCGCAAATTCAATCGGGAAAACTATTTCCTTTTTCAGATCGATATGTTTAAAATCATCCAATCAGACAATAAATTTAAACCTGAAACTGATTGGAAGAAAGTTTGAATTTATTAGTTGATTTGCTATTGTCCAATAGTAGCTTAAATACTGGTGATTACTGATTGCTTCAGTTCATTTATGTTCGATAATTATTCATTAGAAAGAAATTAAATGACAAGTTCAAATTTAGACGTAACACATTTGGAGGCCATACGGAGATATATAATGCCACCTTTAATAATTCAACCAATACTGTATTATTATCTATGGATAGGGACAATATGAATTACATAATACTGGCCGAGGCAAAAATAACTGATGAGACTTGAAGTTATGGATGACCTTTGAGTGACTCTAAACTGACCTTGAGAAAAGTCACCTACCTACTAGAGTCAAAAAGGGTTATAGATTAGGATTATAATTGAGAGTTTGGGGTTAGGAACTAGAGTTAGGGTTTTCTTCACGAAATACATGAGCTATGACGCCAAAATGCTATTTATCCATATGGTTGAATGAAATTCGAGCCAAAAGTCTAGGACTTGCTGTTGGGTATTCTAGATCACCAGAAATCACTTGGCAAACGTCTCATTTTTGTAATTTAATTATGGAAATTTAAATTGCCTATTGTGAAATTAGAGGAGCTCATTATTACCTTCAGCTTGTGATTCCCACCTGGAAGGATCTAAACATCATTGGTTCGTTTCCTCCTGTAGTACGCTATTTTGTGACACTTTTAAAGGACATTTCTGCACTGTGTATTTTACTTACGAGTCGAGTGATTATTATTCATTCCTCTAGGCTGCTTGCGGAATTACATATTTTCTTTGCTGACTCTGGTCTTCTTTTTCTAGTTATTCAGGTTGGGGTGCATAGGAATAGCTTAGCATAGTCGATTGAAGTTGGACAATAACACTGTCGGATGTCGGCTCAGTGGTCTACAGGCCAAGCGTCCGAGCGCGAGACCGAAAGTCCTGGGGTCGTGGGTGCTCACTGCTGAGGGGTCCCATACTAGGACGAATCAACCGTCCAGTGGTTCCAGTTTTTCAATGGTGGTCCAGCCTACATCGACTCATGAATTCAACTATTAAAATTGTATAATCATTTAAATGTTATTGACAAAGATGTCCTTCATTATTGACTAAAATATAGTAGTAATTAGTTCCCATGATCTGGGAAAACACAGTGAACTTACACCAATTCATGTAGAAAGTCTATTCAATCACTAAGTGCTTTTAGCTGGCTACTTTTTCCTCTTTCTTATTGTTTATATATACATGGTATGAAGATTTTACTTGAATATTTTACTTATAAAGTACTTTTTGCTTGTGTTTGACAGATGCCATACATATTTGTATTGACAAGAATTTAAATTAATTTAAACAACACTGAACTCAATATTCTTTATAACTATATCTAATGAAATATTTGAAAAGTTAGCGTGGAATCTTGAAATTTTCTGCATAGTTATGAATGGACTTGTTTTCTTTTCATTTATTCTGTAGTGATAAAATTATTCTTGATTTTTCACATAAATATGTTTTGATGTCTGATATGTTGACCATAACAAAATACTAACTTCCTAGTTAGCATAGAAACTCACACCGATCTATAATTTTTAAAATGTTAACAAGCTAGAAGGACGAATTAAAGTAAAGAAGTAAAGTCATCATATGTTATTGCCATAGTTACTGGTAACCTTAAACCTCGAGTAAATAGTGTCAAAATTAACAATAGTTTGAATACTCTGTCAAGTGAAATTAGGAAAGATGAACAGGTCAAGATTCGAAATCTATTAAAGTTAAACAATAGGACTGATTGGATAAAAGTATTCAGGTCATGAATCGTATTCTTTTGAATTTGCAAAAACAACTGATAACTTCGCCTAAAACAATTACTTCTAGACATAGGTGTACACATTGAAAAAATTAATTATTTTAGAAATAGCTATTTTAAAATCACCTTTTGAACTCATTTTGTATTGTTTATTTGAATTTTCCCATTGATGTTTAGGACTGCGATTGATCAATCTTTTATTGGCATATGTGCCTTCTTTATGGATTGCGTCGATTCCACTGATAGCCACCATCCATCTCTGCTTATAATGCTTGTAATGTAAGACAAAATCGAAGCAATCCTCACAGGATGCACATATACCAATAAAAGACTGATCAGTCTCAGTGTTAAACATCAATGAGAAAACACAGACAACCGGTACAAAATGAATTTAAACTTTGACCCATTGCACAAGCTAGTGGTTATCTGGACTAAGTACCTACTTAATCATTTACTTACTCCTGTTAACCCTAGTAGTGGTTCACTAGTCCCTAACCAGGATCCTCCATCCAACTCTGTCCTGGGAAATCCTTTCCAGTTCTTTCCAGTTGCTATTAGTCCTTTTCACGCCTGCTTCCAATTTCCGACGTAGTGTGTTCCTCGGCCTTCCAATTTTCCGTGTCATATTGGGATTCTAAGTTAGCGCTTGCCTCATGATGCAGTTTGGTGATTTCTGTAATGTTTGTTTCATCTAACTGCAACATCTTTTTCTAATTTCCTCTTCAACTCGAAGCTGATTTATCCTCTCCCATCGTAGGCTGTCCGAACAACGGACATTAATTATCTTGTGTAGACAATTGTTTATAAGTAGCAAAGTGGATAACATGATGGCGTTTGAAGTGAACGGTACAGGCTTTGAGTCCCGGAGTGAACGTCAACTCTGGGATGCAGGTAAATCCAGCTGACAAGTCCCAAATTGGACAAAAGGCGCGTCCTGTATTCTACTGCTAGCCATCTTCCATTTTTGCTTATTGTCACATTTTGAACTTTTTTCATTTGTGAATTTTAGAATAAAATCCTGCATTGTATTATTATTCAAATGGATTCATTCGCTTTATATTCAAAATAACGACATTTACTCAAATGAAATTATCACAACGTCATATTGTAAATGTAAAGTGAATAGGAATAGATTATTGTTTACTATTTATCAGAGTAACGAAAAGTGGGGGAATAGTCATGTTTCCTTACTACTATTGTAATGGACAGAACACAGGTGGGAACAATCAAGTGTAACTAACAACGAATTACAGCACTTGTTAATAAAATCTAACATCCATATAGTGAATCGTTAATTTGCCAAATATCAATCCATCATATCAAACTGGACTGTTCCTACTACAAACATCAATTGATTGTCTAATATTTCATTGTTCATGAGTTTCCATAAAAATTCCATTGTGGTCCCGCTCTTCCTTTCTCGATCTTCCCACATCTTCTGCTGCCAGACATTACGTTTAAAACTCGCGTCATATACTACTTCTATCAATATAAGTAGCGCGCACCACACTATAACTATTAAAACTCGAGGAGCAAGGGTTTGTATAAGTGTAACATGAAACAACAAGCCATCACAATTAATAGGTCTTAATAAATACTAAACTGTGGAGTTTTCTACAGAAGGGCTGAGCAACAGATTGGTTTGTAATTAACGGACCATAAAATATATGAAAACACTTATTGAGTAAAAAGAGATAGATTATTATTAGGCACTATATATAACTAAAATGATCTAATTGTTTTGGTAGTTAAGCATTAGGAATGTAACAACTAACTAAAAATAAATAATATCTATTCAAGATTCATATTTATTTTTCTCTTTTTCTTGCCTATTTGGTATTACTTAATTAATAGCTTCAAACAATGACGAAAAACTTCATTTCTTTGCACTTGTTAATTTATTTGAAATTAGTCTAAATGAAGGTGTCTAACTGCAGGACGAGTCTGAAATTAAAAGACAATAACAAAAGTCAGATACTACTTTACTAAATTCGTATTCATTCTGGTCGTTTTAGAATATTTCTGGACAGTTTTAGAAGTCTATAATTGATGGATAGTGGCTAGCAGTGGAATCCAGGACGCGCGTTTCATCCTATTTGGGAATCGTCAGCTGGATGTACCTGCATCTCAGAGTTGATGTTCACTCTGCGACTCGAACCCGGTACCGTCCGCTTCAAACGTCATCGCGTTATCCACTTAGCTACTGAGTCCTGATAGCCACTTGCTTGTGCAATCGGGTGAAGTTTAATTCACTTGATATTGTTTTACTTGAATCTTCCCATTGATGTTTAGGACTGCAATTGATCACCCCATTGCACAAGCAAGTGGCTATCAGGACTCAGTAGCTAAGTGGATAACGCAATGGCGTTTGAAGCGGACAGTACTGGGTTCGAGTCGCAGAGTGAACATCAACTCTGAGATGCAGGCACATCCAGCTGACGATTCCCAAATAGGACGAAACGCGCGTCCTGGATTCCACTGCTAGCCACTATCCATCTTTGCTTATAATGCTTGTAAATTAAGGCAATATCGAGGCAATACTCACAGTATGCATATATGCCAATAAGAGACTGATCAATTGCAGTCCTAAACATCAATGGGAAGATTCAAGTAAATCAATATCAAGTGAGTCTATAATTGAGTTTAACTTCAACAACAGGCTGAATGCACACAGTAATCCTGGTCAGCGAAGTGCAGAACCATCCGAATGGAAAACATCACATTTGATGATGAAACTGAGAGAGCATTCCAATTATGTGGTAGAATGAATTATCCATATTCACTAAAATAAATGTCTGATGATATACACTTATATTGAAAAATAGGATTAAGTTACTTACTATATCTATAAGTAGCTTAAAATTGTTCTGAGAATCATTGTGATTAGACCAAATCGTCTGAAACTACGTTCTTCGGTATTATCATTTGCTAGTTTAAATTGTATAAGATTGTCTACTTTTAATGTTTGTTTATCAGTTTTAAGCCCATGGTAATGATGTACCCACCTTAGTGCACATATTATCAAACATTCGTGAAATAATTAACAATCCAAAAGGAGGATTAAGATAACAAAA